GAGGGGGCCGCCCCCCCCCCCCCCCCAAAAGGGGCTACAGCTTCTCAACAGGGGCCAAAGTCCTCCAACAGGGAACCCATGATCCCCTGCAGGGGCAACCCCCCCAGCCCCTCAGGGCCCATGGCCCCCCACCCCGCCCCAGACCCCAGTCACCCTCCATCACTCGCCCAGCCTGTCCCAGCCCCTGATGGCTGCACTGCCCAGCCCCAGTGTCCCCACACTTACCGGCTATAGCAGCATCCGTCAATACAGTAGGGGGCAGCAGGGTTCAGCTCTGGCTGCCTGGCATCCAAGCTGCCACTGCTGCATTGCCAGGGTGCAGCCCAGCTGGCAGGGTGCCATGTGGTGCCATGGGCTATCTAGAAGCTCAGGGTCACGGGCTAAGTGGTGCCAGGCTCTAGGGGACAACTGGAGCAGCCCAGAGCTGCCAGACAGTGCCTGGCGCAGCACGGGACCCTGCCAAGCCAAGCTGCACCCATGTCATGTGGCAGCATGGGTGCCAGGCGGCTGAGGCCAATCCCTGCTGCCCCCCGCTTCCCATGCTGTGCAGGGGGGCTCTGCCATGAGGCCCTGAGTGTCCCCAACCACCGCTGCTACTGCCGGTGAGTATGGGCTGTGTTGGGGGTGGGGCCAGGCAGAGGCGTGATCAGAGAGCGGGGGCTGTGCAGGGGAACAATTGGGGAGCAGGGGCTGGGTAGGAGAGTGATTGGGGAAAGGGGGCTGTGAGGAGGAGTGATCAGGGAGCAGGGGCTGGGCAGGGGAGCAACTGGGGAGCGGGGGCTATCTAGGGGAGCAATTGGAGAGCGGAGACTGGGCAGGGGAGCAATCGGAGAATGGGGGAAGCAATCCAGGAGCTGGGACCCAGCAAAGGAGCGATCAGGGACTGGGGCCAGGCAGCCCCCCCCGACATGGCCCCCTCCCCCAACATGTCCCCACCATCTCTGTGGAGGACTGAGCCTCCGGTTGCTTCAGGGCATGGTCTGGGACTGTGCCTTAGTCTGCTGTTTCGCAGCACTTTTTTTTTTTGACCCCTGGATATCCAGGGTCTAAGTTTGCCCCCATGCTACAAATTTGCAGCGTGGGGAATGTTTTTTTGTTCCAACACATGCATCTTGCGGCATCTCAGAGGGGTTTGAGATGCTGCAAGAGGCACGTGCGCACTGGTCTGGATGCACCCAATGTGGCCAATATAACATGGTGGTTTTAAAATCCATCAATTTAATCTGAAATAAATAGATGCAATTCCTTCAGCTTCTGTTATTATTCCTTTCTTTCACCCTGCTGACTACTCTAAATGCAGAGGTTGTGCAACTGCCATTGCTTGCTTACTAACAAATTCTGGTACCCTATTTATGCCAAATAGTACCTTAGTTGCTTACATCTCTCGCATTTTAAAAAAATCAGAGCTAGCATGTATGCAATTGGGAACCAAACATAATATATACAAATACTCCATTGCATTCATCTAGACTCGGTGTAGATTCCAGCTCAAATTCTTCCCTGCACTAAAGTCCACTTGGCTCAGGAAATAGGGAGGACAGCCAGGGAACCAGTTACGCATAACCTTGGTCCAAACCCCAGCATGTGTTAAGAGCTACAAACTGCTCTGATTTGTGCCAGGTGGCTACAATCCACAAATAACTATATATCCATCTGGGAGTAAATGGAGCCTCAGCATGTACCACCTTACCCTCACCCTCTACTCACGTGGCACTCCATGGGCAGTTAATCTGGGATCCAACTTCACCG